GACCTGATAGAAAGGGCAAGATAATTTGCCCTGGCATCATCATGGTTTCATGTCTACAGTGGAACTAATAATTTGCAGGGAATTTTGATGAATACATGAGTTTGAGGATATGGGGTGGAAGACTTTGAATTTATGTCAGGGATGTGGCTGGGAGATTGATTTGATGTGAATTTAGGGATCTGGGTATGTACTAAATTGGGAAATGAGCCCTGTGGTCACTCTAGCAGTATAATGGTGGAGAAAGTATAAGCTGTCCTCCATCTTTGTCACATTTGCATACATCCTCCTCACCAGGGAAGTATTGAAAGTTGAAAAGCACCCTCTGCTCTTTTAAGCCAGTAATCTAGACAACGAATCAGCAAATTTTCAATAAGGGGGCAGATAGTAAATATTTTAAGCTTTGTAGGCCATATAGTCTCTCACAGTTTCTCAACTATGCTCTTACAGCACAAAAACAGTCATAGACAATACTATAAATGAGTGAGTTTGGCTGTGTTGTAATAAGACTTTATTTACAAAACCATACAGTAGGCTGAATGGCCCACAGGCCATAGTTTGCAGGCTCCTAGGCCAGACTCAGTTTTTGTATAGTGTCCTGAAGTGAAGAATGCGTTCTTCTATTTTTGAAAGAGTGTATTTTAAAAAAAGAAGAGTGTACAACATAGGCCGTATGTATAGTCCGCAAAGCCTCAAACATGTACCAGCCTTTTAGAGAAGTTTGTCAACCTCTAGGGCCTTGCCAGTAAAGCTCCTGGTCTGTGCTTATAGGAATGAGTAGTGTGCCCCGTGAGGTGTGGGGAGGCTGGGGAAGGGAGCATTTGAACCTTCGGGCCTCTAGTCTTTTCCTGATTTAGAACCAAAATATGTAAGCCTGTCTTCAACAAAATCTTTCAATTCCAAAGGGGGCTAGTCTTCAGCTTCTAGTGCATTGCCTCCTTGCCTGTTCTCCTGCCCCTTAATAGAACTCATGCCTTCCTTTGAGTGCTCCTTGACCCTATCAGCTTCTGTCATGGCATATTAATTACTCGTTGTGCTGTGTTTTTGTCTTCTAGTCTCTCTGCTAAATTGGCAGTCTTTTAAGAGCAAGAACTTGGTTTTAATTCATTGTCTGTCTGCCAAGTTCTACACCTGATCTTAGCCAAAAGGCCGAGAAGCGATTGTCTCCCAAGTTCTTAGTATGTAGTAAGTCTGGTGGATACCTGGGTAGATGAATTTCGTTAGTGTTAATCCCCACTGAAACTGTATTAGTGTCCTCATAATTTGTGTTGTAGAAATAACTGCTTTTAACTTAAGTATACAGATAATGAAATACCCTTGGCTGGGGTCTGAGATGGAACTGATTGTGCTTTTAGTAAAGTATCTGAGATTTATGTAGTACTACCCAAACTTTTCACAGATTGTGGCCCTTGAAATAGGGGCACGGTGTACCTTAAAGACGGTAGGGGTGGGGAGCTAATTGGATGCTCAGTAACAACCAGGAACTATTGTGCATGTTTCACATACAATCTGACGTTAATTCCCATGCACCCAAAAGACGCGGGGTTTATTCCCGAGGCTGACTAGCTTAGAGATTATGAGTGAGTACTCTAGAACCAGACTGCCTGAGTACAAATACAACCCTGTGTTGGCATTGGCTTCCTCCTCTGTAAGATGGGGGTAATCACAGGATTGCTGAGAGGATGAAATAATTTAAAGTCTGTAGACTGCAAACAGTGCCTGGCATAGGTAGAAAGTGTCAACTCTATTACTATTGCTACTCCTGCTATCTCTTTTCATTTTTTTTATCTCTTTTCAAAAATGTATTGATATTAAGCAGTTTGCCCCTCAGTATAACGTTGTTGTTAATAAGCAATAAGATCTTAGAGGGTTCTTTTTATATTTATTTGAAGGAGTGTATTTTAAGAAAAGAAGGTTTTTTTAAACAGAGGCAGAGTGTGAGTGAGCGCAAGCAGGGGGGAGCAGCAGAGGGAGAGGGAGAAGCAGACCCCCTGAGATTTTAGAGGTTTTAAATCAAGCTCCTAATCACCGTGGCATAATACATAGACTGCTGTTAATTCAGTTGTTTGTATACTATATTAAACTAGTCATTTACATTTAAAAGATGTAAGTTTTGCCAAATTATGAAGACTGCCTTTTGGAAAGTAGTGTGGCAGTGTGTACCAAGGGCCATGAAAATGTCCCTGTTCTTTAATCTGGAAATCTAGGTTTTACAAAAAATCTAATATTGAGATGGTTCAGTTGGTTGGGCATCCGATTCTTGGTTTCAGCTCTGGCCGTGATCTCAGGATCGTGAAATTGAGCCCCAGGTTGGGCTCTGTGCTGGGCGTGGAGCCTACCTAAGATTCCCTCCCTCTCCATCTCCCCCTCCCCCCCTTAAAAAATTGAATATCAAGAAACTGTATTCAAAAGACTTTGTCGTGTTGATGATCGAATAGGGAGAAAGAAAAACTAAATATCCAGAAACACAGGGATGCTTAATTGCTGCAGGCTCACAGGATGAAATGTTATCCTGACATAAAAGTAAATGATCATGTAGATCAGTGATATAGGGAAACACCTGTGGTGTGGTATTAGGCAGAAAAACTGCCATGGGCACACACAGGACTCCTTTAAGAAAGCCATAAAGTTTGGGTGCCTGCGTGGCTCAGTCTGTTAGGCGTCCAACTTTTGGTTTCAGCTCAGGTCCTGATCTCATGGGTCATGAGATCCAGCTTGGCGTTGGGCTCCATGCGCAGCGGTAGTCCACTTGGATATTCTCTCTCTCTGCCCCTCTCCCTGCTCATGCACTCTCTCTCTCAAATAAATAATCTTTTTTTTTTTTTAAGATTTTATTTATTTATTTTGACAGAGAGCGAGAAAGGGAACACAAGCAGGGGGAGTGGGAGATGGAGAAGCAGGCTTCCCGCCGAGCAGGGAGCCAGATGCGGGGCTCGATCCCAGGACCCTGGGATTATGACCTGAGCCGAGGGCAGACGCTTAACGACTGGGCCACCCAGGCGCCCCGGTCTTTTTTTTTTTTTTTTTAAGCCATAAATTTGGCCAGTGGGAGGGGTGAAAAAGTAGCTGTGATGGGGCAGGAGCTGTGGGGGTTTTGGGGGGTTTTTTTTTTCCTCTTTTTTGGGGGGAGCTGGGTGTTGTTTTTGTTTTTTAAGATTTTATTTTATTTTTAAGTAATCTCTGTATGCAACACAGGGCTTGAATTCAGAACCAGGAGATCAAGAGTTGCATGCTCTACTGACTGAGCCAACCAGGCATCCCTTGTTACCCTATTTTGCTGAATGTTGTAACATGGTGGCATTTTTTATAAAGGAAAAAAAATTAAAATATTTAAACATACACAAACAATGAATCATGGAACACTACATCAAAAACTAATGATGTAATGTATGGTGACTAACATAAAATAAAATTTAAAAAATATTTGAACGTAAGAGATCGCGTTGTTATGTGAAGTAACTTTTTAGATCATTAATTGGAGGAAAGAAAGAGAGTGGACATGAGTTAATAGACGATAAAACAGGGGCACCTGGGGGGCTTAGTTGGTTAAGCAGCCGACTCTCAATCTCGGCTCCAGTCATGATCTCAGGGTCCTGGGATTGAGGCTTGTGTCGGGTTCCCTGCTCAGGAGGGAGACTGCTTGAGGATTTTCTTACTCCCTCTGCCCCTCCACCCACTTGCACACACTCCTCCCACCCCCAAATAAGTAGATGAATAAATGATCTTTTTTAAAAAAAGATAAATTGGGGGGCGCCTGGGTGGCTCAGTTGGTTAAGCGACTGCCTTCAGGCTCAGGTCATGATCCTGGAGTCCCGGGATTGAGCCCCGCATTGGGCTCCCTGCTCAGCAGGGGGTCTGCTTCTCCCTCTGACTCTTTCCTCTCGTGCTCTCTGTCTCTCATTCTCTCTCTCTCAAATAAATAAATAAAATCTTTAAAAAAAAATAAAAAAGATAAATTGGAAACCATAGTGGTTAAACAGGCATTTCCTATTTTTGGTTTACTCTCCCTCAAGGTTATTCTAGAACGGGGCTCTGGTGATGGATGGTTCTGCAGGCAAAGTCACTTCAGAGGTGCGAACTCTTTGGATGAAGCCCAGGGTTTGTTACTCTGGTGTAGATTCTGTGCTTTAGAAAAGTTAAGTGGTGGAGGGAGCTAATGGTAAAATAGTTTTTTTTTTCCCCACAAGTTGGTGTATTTGCAACTTCTCAGAACATTTCTTAGGTGAAGAGAGACTGCTATACTTCTTTTGCAGAAGAGGCATTACAGATGGGGGTGTTACTGGAGAGCAGGGACTGCACTTTTATAACTGACCCTGGGAGGGTATTCTGCAGCTTGGCAAATACAGGCTGATCTCTTGAGCATAGCAGAGGGGTGTGGTGGTGTCTGGACTGATGCTTTGATGAGAGCTCTTGCCTGTGAGTTCTGCAGTGAAAAGGTCCCTGTGTTTTCATTTTGATGCTCAGATGGTGATTTCTGCATAAAATGCAATATGGGTTTGTTTCTTTGTTTTTAATTTGACAGGCGTATAAACCCTTTTCTGGTTTTTGTATTTTGAAGGACACAGAAACTGAAGCCTTTGTCATTTTCTCTCTGGATGCCCAGGGAAGTGTGCAGGAAGCATGCCATAGATTAGGACCAGGAGGAAAAATGTGTGATGGTTGTGACAGGGTCCTAAGGAAGGCAGCTACTGAACTTACTCAAGATTTTAAAAATAAATTCAGACCAGTTGTATCTCTGTGTAAACAAAAAACAAAAAAAACTCTGTGTATTCCTGTGAAACAGATGGTGTGTGTGTGTATGCACTTGACATGTGATTTAACAAGGTCTATTCAGGCAATACTAACTGCAGAACATAAAACAGTGTGACAGAACCTTCTTAACTACTGAGAATATAGCCAGGGAAATAATTCACTGTAGCGGAGAATGGTTTTTTTAAAAGTTTGACAAACACTGGTTTCGAGTAAGATTTTTCTCTTAGAGTTAATTTTCTTTCTCTCTGAAGGTACCCAAGCCCACCAATGGGATCTGTATCAGCACCCAACCTGCCTACAGCAGAAGAAAATCTGGAATATGTACGGACTCTCTATGATTTTCCTGGGAATGATGCTGAAGACCTGCCCTTTAAAAAGGGTGAGATCCTGGTCATAATAGAGAAGCCTGAAGAACAGTGGTGGAGCGCCCGGAACAAGGATGGCCGGATTGGGATGATTCCCGTTCCTTACGTTGAAAAGCTTGTGAGATCCTCACCACATGGAAAGCACGGGAATAGGAATTCCAACAGTTATGGGATCCCAGAACCTGCTCATGCCTATGCTCAACCTCAGACCACAACTCCTCTACCTGCAGTTTCCAGTACTCCTGGGGCAGCGATCAACCCTTTGCCATCCACACAGAATGGACCTGTCTTTGCCAAAGCCATCCAGAAAAGAGTACCCTGTGCTTATGACAAGACTGCCTTGGCATTAGAGGTAAAATTTACAGGGCTGGTTTTTTGGGTCTTTTTGACATTCGGTTTTCATTTTTAGTTTTAATTTTGTTTCTGCAAAGTAATGACTGCTCACTTAAAAGTTCTGTTCAGGGGAATAAGATAACTAGGTGATTTTGGAAGATCCACTGTGAGTGTCCCACATGACTCTTGTCCTTTCCTGTCCTTGTTTCTCCCAAGGTGTAGTCTCCCCTAGGTTTAGTCTCACAGTAGTTGGTTTTCTTTCCAGTGAGAAAAGATGATGGTTAATAAAGACCCATGACCTAGACACAAAATCAGCATACAGGTAGATACATAGCCACTTGTACAGGTCCATATTTCTGACATCGTGATTAGTTGAGAAATATGAATAAATGTCTTAAAATTCCTCTTCAGCTAGGAAGAGATAAAAGTTTAAAATATCTCAGACTGGGGTGCCTGGGTGGCTCAGTCAGTTAAGTGTCTACCTTCTGCTCAGGTCATGATCCCAGGGTCCTGGAATCAAGCCCCACATCAGGCTCCCTGCTCAGTGGGGAGTCTGCTTCTCCCTCTCCCTCCACCCCTCCCCCTGCTTGTGCTCGTGCATGCTCGCTCTCAAATAAATCTTTAATTAAAAAAATATATATCTCAGACCTTACTAGATTTATTTTTTGTTAAGACTCTTGGAGAGCTTAGCATGTAACTGTGGCTTTCTGAACCAAGAAGTCCTGAAGACCAGTGTTGATAAGCCTTTTGAGGGCGTAAACTGTGTATCACAGAAAGTAGAAGTTTGATGAGACATCCGATAAACCTGGAGTGACCATAAATGAGCACAAACCCCAGAGGAAGAACAGAAGGATTTGAAAAATAGATTTTTTGGGTCCTGGGTGGCTCAGTTGGTTAAGTGTCCGACTCTTGATCTCAGCTTGGGTCTCAATCTTAGGGTCATGAGTTCAAGCCCCATGTCGGGCTCCGTGCTGGGTGTGGAGCCTACTTAAGGGGGGAAAAAAAGATTAAAAAAATTTAATATTTTTAGAATAGTCCCATATATTTTTCATGTTATTTTTTACGAGGTATAAAATACGTGCAGTGAGATGGGCCCTAAATATTAACATCTCAGAATATGGAATTTGATGCCACAAATCCTAACTCTTTTATTTGTAGATAAGTTGTGAAAATGCTTTGTGAGCCACAAATTATTAGGTAAATAAGTATCATTATAATATTATTACAGTTGAATATTCTTTGTTGGTATTATCAAATTGCATATATGTTGGAGAAGCTGAGATTACACTAGTGATTGTTCTTTGTGTGTGCACCCCAAGGTCAAAGTAGGGCAGGGTTGGGAGACAGCCCAGGTACATGACAGAAGGATGAAGTAATGGAGTCTGTTGCTTCAAAAAGCAGAACTTAACCCATAGAACAGCCTGTCCACAGATAAAAGCTAGCATTGATTTTTGTGTGTGTGGTTTTTTCCATTGGTTATCCTCCCTTTTCCTTGGATGAGGAGTAATGTCCGAGCGAACTACACCTGAAGGTTTGTTGCAGAGTCTGATTACTTCTCCCTCTCACATTGGCTGTAAAGGAGTAAGTTTCTGGGGCTTGTGGCAGGGACCAGGTTTAGGCAGGAGCCACATGCTTTTAATGCTTCCCAGTGGAGGAACAGGAAAGAAACCAGACTGAATCCTGGCTGAGTAGGCCTTCCAGCTTTCTCATCCCCACACAGACCTGCCCCTGCACAGGTATACACCCCTAGCCTAGTTCACACAGCACCCTAAAATTATGTGGGGTGTTCTGGGCTCTAAAACCTTCCAGTTTGCATAGTGATTCTTGCCTTTTGAGGCATTTTCACATCTGTTGTCTCATCATAGGAGTGGAGAGCTCGGATTCAGAGAGTTGTTGTGACTCACATGTGTTAGACGCATGGGGGTTGAGGCACCCAGTCAGAATTGCAGGCTCCATAGAGGAAGTCAGGAATTGGGCTCTTACCTGAACTAGGGTTTAAAGTCTCACTCCATTTAGGCCACCCGCCAGTTGACCTCTAGCTCTAAGATGTGTGTGCATTTTAGAAACCTGTATCTCCTGTGCGTTGCTCAGAGTGTGCATCGGGGGGATTGTAGAGTGGAAGACCAGATACTATAAAGGGGATCATTTATTTTCTTCTTTTTTTAATAAGATTTATTTATTTATTAGAGAATGTGGGCGGGAGCCGGGGCGGGAGTGAGGGACACAGAGGGAGAGGGAGAATTGTTGAGCAGACTGCCCACTCAGCAGGGAATCCCAGCACAGGGCAATCACAGAAGATCTCAGATCCCTGAGGTCATGACCTGAGCTGGAATCAAAGAGTTGGCTGCTTAACTGAATGAGCCACCCAGGTACCCCCAAAGGAGATCATTTAGAGCTTGGTGAGCAGATATGTGGGTAGGTGCCTTAGACCAGGATGAGGATTAAAAGCCTGGCTAATGATGGATATTGGGGCGCCTGGGTGGATCAGTTGGTTAAGCATCTGCCTTCAGCTCAGGTCACGATCCCACCATGCTGGGATTGAGCCCCGCTTCAGGCTCCCTCTCCCTTTCCCTCTCTGCCCTGCTTGTGCTGTCTCGCTCTATTTCAGATTTTTGTTTGTTTGTTTTTAATTTATCTGACAGAGCGAGAGAGCACAAGCAGGGGAACAGTAGAGGCAGAGGGAGAAGCAGGCTCCCCACTGAGCAGGGAGCCCGATACGGGGCTCAATCCCAGGACTCTGGGATCATGATGTGAGCCGAAGGCAGACGCTTAACCATCTGAGCCACCCAGGCGCCCTCGCTCTATTTCAAATAAATAAATAAAATGATGTATATTTTAAGGTAACCCACATACTTGGCCGTTACGCAGTTCTTGTTTCTCAGACCCCAGAAAGAGGTTAGTCTCCTTGTGACACTACCCCAGCTGTGTAAGTCTCATCAAAGGCTTACTTTGGTGTTTCACCAAGAGTGTAAGGGGGACCCGAGTAGTAAACTTTTGCCAAATTCCACTTAATGGTATTTCTCATTCTGTATATTTGAATGAGACTTTTGGCTATAGCATAAGTAAATAGTTCTATGAGCTGCGTTATCTTCTAAAACTTAGTGCGTGTCTGATCTTGTTAAAAACAACTCTCTTGAGACTTTTGCAATTAGGTTACCAGGAAAAGTATTAAAATTAAAATAAGAAAGGTGAAATAAGTAGGACAAAATGTGCCAGTAATTGAAGCTTCCTTATTTCCCTTGATGGTATTAGAACGATGAGGGCTTAGGTGAACTTTATTTCATGAATCATTTCACACTTTTTTCATAAAACTTGATTTTCAAAACATTCGTACAAGTAAAGAGAGATTTTATTTTATTTTTAATATTTATATTTATTTTTATAGATTTTATTTATTTATTTGAGAGAGCACGCACATGCGTGTGCATGAGAGCGGGGTGAGGGGCACAGGGAGAAGCAGAATTCCTACTGAGCAGGGAGCCTGATGTAGGGCTCGATGCAGGGACTCCAGGATTATGACCTGAGCCAAAGGCAGAGACACCCAACCGACTGAGCCACCCAGGTCCCCATAAAGAGAGATTTTTAAAACAGGTCTGTGTTTAGCCGTTTTTCTCTCTTGTTTACCTCTTTTCAAGAAGTGAGTTGATGCTTGGGATTTAATTTGAAAAGGAATACTTGGGTACCTGGGGTGTGGTAAAGCAAGATGGTCAAGGAAAGATCATGGACCTGCATTCAAGTCCTGGCTTTTCGTCGTGTGATCTTGGGCAAGCTACTTCAATTCTTTGGAGTCTAAAAGGCACCTTTGTTCTGAAAGTTGATGTGAGTTTGTTCATTAATCATCCATTCATGCAACCAACCTGTGAGGGATGTCTTGTGGGTCCCTACCACCAAGGTGCTTACCACCTAGTGAGAGAATAGAGACAGAAACCAGCAATGTGGTAAGTGCTCTAATAACATAGAGTAGGAGGGAGAGTGGGGAAGGGCGGGGGTAGGAGATGGGAGTGTGGGTATTTGTCTGGGAAGCCTTCCTGGAGGAGGTGACCCTCAAACTGAGTTTTGAAGGATGAATAGAAGTTAGGTGGGTGAAGTGCCCGGAGACATTCCTGGCAGAGGGAAGAGCTTACATGAACAAGACTTAATACCACCGAGTAGCTGCAGGTTAGTGAGAGTGTGTATGTTGGGCAAAAGCGGCAAAAGACAAAGCAGAGGAAGTGGGCTGTTGCCCTGTCATCAAAGGGCTAGGCTGAGGAGATGAACAGTTTTCTTATGTTGCCTTCACTGAGGCATAAAATAGCCAGTTTGTCACAACTGATGGAGGTTCTGAAGTTTGCAGGCAACTTACCTTTTAATTGATGGATTTTTAAATAATTTAGAGCAAACACTTGAATCTCCCTATGATATCATTCTCACACGCTTGTATTCCAGTATACTTTCCTGACTACAAAAGAAAGGGAAGAACTTTCTTTTTTTTTTTTTTGTTAAAGATTTTATTTATTTGACAGAGAGACACAGCGAGAGCAGGAACACAAGCAGGGGGAGTGGGAGAGGGAGAAGCAGGCTTCCCGCTGAGCAGGGAGCCCGATGTGGGACTCGATCCCACGACCCTGGGATCATGACCTGAGCCGAAGGCAGAAGCTTAACGACTGAGCCACCCAGGCGCCCAAGGGAAGAACTTTCTTAGCATTGTCCTTAACTCTGGGGCTGCATACCTATGATTATTTGCTGTATGAAAATTTGTATCCAGGCATCTAAATGGAACCTCGGTGGAGCTTTCCCCTGTGGTATGGATTAAGAGAACAGTTGGTGAGGGTGCCTGGCTCAGTCAGTTAAGCATCAGACTCTTGATGTTGGCTCAGGTCTCGATCTTAGGGTCGTGAGTTTGAGCCCCACGATAGGCTCTACACTGGGCATGGAGCCTACTTAGTTTAAAAAAAAAGTTGGTGACAGTAGGGATCTGTGGGAATCAGAGTCAGTGGAACAGATTCTGTGGAGGAAGAAGAACATTTTCTTGGCCTGCAA